GTGTTCACCGACAGTAGCTGTGCAGAGAGAGGAAGAGGTCCGAACACAATACACGCACACAGAGCGCGGAGGAACCTGAAGCACGTTATAATTTGTTGTTGTTGTTGTCGTCGTCGTCGTTGATGATGCTGCTGCTGCCACTACTGTTTTCAATATTCTTTCCACTGGCATCGATGATGGTGATGAAGACGACGAGCGAAACGACCGTTAATGCTGTGCTCTGTTCCACTGCTGAGCTGTCTTCAAAGCTCGACGAACCTTCAAAACCGCCTTGTACAACCGGGCGTCCTTCATCCCTCTGCTGTGCGCTGCCTGGAGCAGCTGCAACCCCTCCCGAGCTGCGCTTGGTCCGTTGTTTTGGTTGCTACTGTCGCGGCTATGTGTCCCGAGGTAGTTGAGTCGCTCTACCAGCGCGGCAACGTCGTCGTCGAAGTCGAATCGGAGAGCCGGGTCTGGCGCCGGTGCTGTTCTCAATGCGCCTGCCTCTTGAGATCCTTGCGCAGCAACGTCGCTCTTTTTCCCGACAGAGCAAAAAAGAAAAGGAGCCGGGGGATAGGACGTGCAAGCGTATGAAATAGACCAAAATAAACCTAAACAGGAAAATCAAATAAGCAAAAAAAGGGAGATTTCGCGATATGCTGCTCCGGGAACCGTAGAAACACGGGTAGCTTCCACTGACGCTATGAGTTCATTGAGTTCATTGCTAACCTACGCCACACTCTTTTTCTTTGGAGGAGACAGATTTGTTGCGCAGTTAAGCAAGCACAAGAAGCCAAGTGGAAGGGAAGAATAGCTGAGAGAGACGCGCCTACACGACAATCGAGTGCCGAATGAACGGGAGAGTGCGAGGACGGAACATTTACCAATCAGCTGGACGACAACGAAAAAAACATGACACAACGCCTTCCCCGGCCTTAAAAACAAGCAGTACATAGCTCGCGTTGTAGGGGAGAAACGACTCAAGCAGTGTCGTTGTAATCGACATAAGTGAGCTAACATTAGACTCGGTGGATACGAGGACTACGCTGCATGATTGATAGGATGAAACAACTGGTACGGAAACTTTCGTTGGGCTAAAAAAATGGATTGAACCGTGGCCGGTCAGCTGTTGTAATAAAATCTGCTGTGCAGTGGCGGCTACGGTATGAGAGGGTCGTGAGAAGCCAGCATTTTTCTCTAAAATCCGGCTTTCTCTTAAATCGTACTGTGAAATGTATGTATTCCTCATTGTCGTGACAAGCCAGTTTGACTCTCTTAAATCGGTACTTCCTCGTAAATAGTCTCTTAAACCGTAGCCGCCAATGTACTCGAAAAATCGTTGACTCAGGAGCCTTATGGTGGTGGCTCCTTGTCGGTGCAGTCAAGTATTCGTACATGATCATGCGCACTTTTACGACTTGGGAGGGGGGATTGACTGCTGCTGCCTCTTCCTCGCTGTCTCTCCCTCCCCCCTCCCCCCGCGCAGACATCTTTTGCAGCAACGTGCGCTTCGGATCGCACTGCGGTGGTAGGTGGAATGGGGAGTCGGGCCAAAATCTACGCGTACCCGTTACTTCGACCATTCGGGTGCAGGGTTGCGCGCCGCCGAGCAGCTGGCGATGAAAAACCTCTCCTATTTACCGCGTGTGTAAAAGGTATGCACGCGTGGTGCAATCTAGGAGACCCGTGAAGAGGACCTCACGTGTTACTACCGTGTGGAACAGCAGCAGCAGCACATGTTGCCTTGGGTATCGATAGGAACTAAACTCAGTGGGAGGACGGATCCTCTGCTCAAGCAGGGGCTACTATGATCCTATCCCCTGTTTAATCCTTCCGCGGGGAGTTGCATCTTCCCGCACCTTCTAGAAGGAATCATTCTCTGCTACGTTCCGCCTACACATCTAAAACCTTTAGCCCACCCTCGAGGCTCTCATACGCAGATACTACAAACCATCGGATCTTGACAAGCAATTGTCGAATCCCCAAGTGAGAGTATCGAGGTTATGGAGCTACAAAACAGCACAATTCACCCTCCCACACATCTCACCCGATGAGTCGCAAAAAGACCATCGTGTGACCTCTAAAACAAAAGAAGGCACAGGACGCTCGCTCTCATCGACGCGGAGCATCGCCAACAATATTCGGACCGTCAGGCAGCGATCGCGGCCCTACGGAAGAAGCGCGCGGAAAATGCTGATACAATCATTGCACTGAACCAGCTGCAGCCGCAGCAAGATCACCAGCGGAGCCAGCTCGCCACTATTCTTCTAACTGTGACACTTGGCGTCGTCTGCAGGAGGCACCTCGGCTTCGGCCGCCCGCGCTGCTTCGGCGGCTGCTCCCGCTGACCCTCTGCCGCCACTGCAATGCCCACGGTGGTTTAGTACTTTGGTATGGGATATAGCATGGATCAGTCGCAGCGACGAGGTTCGTCGGGATATCGGCGAGGCGGTCGACGTCGACCGCGCAGCCGTCGCCCTGGCGCAGGACAATTTCCTCGGTGCGGAGTATTGCCAAAAGCTTCAAGAACTTCAAGGCTGTTATTCCAAACCAAAGTACTGACCCACCGCGGGCATTGCAGTGGCGGCAGAGGGTCAGCGGGAGCGACTGCCGAGGCAGCGCGGGCGGCCGAAGCCGTGGGTGCCTCCTGTCGCCGACGCCAAGTGTAAAGGTATCACGCGTGGTGCAACCTGGGAGACTCGTGAAGAAGACCTCACGTTACTACTCGTGTGGAACAGCAGCAGCAGTAGCTGTTGCCTTGGGCATCGGTGGGAACAGAACTCAGTCCGGGGGGCGGGTCCTCTGCTCAAGCAGGGGGTGCTATGGTCACAGGAGTACTATGATCATGTCCCCCGTTTCATCCTTCCGCGGGGAGTTACATTACATCTCCCCGCACCTTCTAGAAGGAATCATTCTCTTCTAGATTCCGCCAACACGTATGCATATGAATCCTAAAACACGAGGGAGAGACAATCAATTTACAGGAAAAAATAAGGGTTCCTAACCTGCAGAGGGTTTCTTCTCAGACGAAGAATCGTAGGGTGTATCAATCCTAGAACACGTGCAAACGATAGGTAGAGACAATCGATTTACAGGACACAACAAGGGTTCTTAACCTGCAGAGGGTTTCTTCGAAGACGCAAAATCGTAGGTGCAACACGACCTAGCTACAGCAGTGGTGACAGAGAGTGCACGCAGCATTATGTTGGTGGACGGCAACAAAAGAAGAATGAATGTGTTCCATAGCCAAGGAAGAGGGGACACAGGAAACTCAACAGGGGAGAGGGGACAACACGGTAGGAGGTACGAGGTACTTCATCGTTAACATCCTCGCGGTTGTTCCCGCCCCAGATAGGGATCGATAGACACACCTACGGATATAACTCGTTAAACCTTACTTTCTAGAAAACATGAGCCAAAACCTCGGGATACTGCTGGGGGAAGGGCGTACGTGTGCCGGAAACATTATTTCGGGAACGAACATGCCCGGCAAATCAGCGGTACTATGCTGGTGGGCATGGGCATCTGTTGTGCGCATGTGACAGCAGATCTTTTTCAAATTGTCAATCTCTACAAAAATTTGAAAAATTCCCCAAATGGTGCTGTACTTGTACTCCGAAAGCCGGGCATTGTGATTGAGGGTGCAAGAGCTAGCCACGTCATCGACGTACACAAAACGTAGGCTACGCTTCGGGTACATACTGCTTGAGTCTATCTGCTGCCGCAGAGATTATCTTTGCATATGTACGGATCAAGCCGCCCCGCGACTGATTTTATTCCGATTGTTTGCCAATACGTGTAGGAAAAAGTGTGTACGGTTTAGTGAGAAGTGGTCGACAGGAGTCAGCACAAAGAGCAACCCTTCCAAAAGTGGGGGCGAAAAACAAGCATAATCCCTAAGTCAATGGAGGAGCACGCAGGCCTCGCACAAGGGCTACACAGACAGACACATCACAGACACAGACAGCGCTGCGTACACCCACCTCCTGTATCCGGTGAGGGGGGGGGGCAGGGTGAAGGTCGCCGGGTCATGTATGGGATCTTGGGGTTGGTGGAAAATGTAATGAAATGGGCCATGTCTGCTGTGCAATGGCAGACCCGGAGCAGACGGCCAGTCATGCTGTTCATGTAGCGATGGAGCGAGTGATACCATCCGCAGGTTTCTCCCAGCTACATAGTGTAGTTTCGGCAGGCTGCACACTACAGACTCGGTCGAGAGCGATCCACCCTTTCGGCGACCCCGCGAAATGAGAAGCTCTTCGTTCTGTTGTGCACTCCACACAGCTGTGCGGCCACCGGGTGAAAGGGCTGTCTCGGAGCCGGTCTGTACAGCCCATGGGCGGTTGAATGTGCAGTGAAAAGTTCAAAGTCTGCAGAGTCTTCAGACTGGGCGCACGAGGCAAAGGCTGGAGCCTGGGGTTGCTGCAGCCATCGAAAGTGAAGGCTGGAGGTACCAAGCATGGCAGCTGCCCTTGGTTCAAAGCGGTCTGGGCGGCGAGAGGAGCAAACAGACGCGCTCCATCTTGACTACTCGTTAACAGACAAAAAGCTGCCAATTTAGGTGTAGTGGTGGACGTGGCAAACAGTTCGGTTGTGTTTCTCACATGCTGCATCAGATCTCCGCTCCCATCGCTCTGAGTCGTCGCTGCCGCCGCTGCCGTTGCGTCTGATTGAAGACACCGCCGCAGCGTGCATCCGGCACGTACACCCCTGCTGCTGCCGGGTGTTGGCATAGCAGCTGCACACACTGCTCCAGCGCTCCTCCCGCTGCATCTAGAGCGCGTAGTAGCCTCCCGTCGTAGGCATTGCGCAGCAAGCGTCCGTGCTCGCAGCATCGCCTGCTTCGCTGTCGACTTGCTGCGTCCTGCGCTCACTCGCTTGCTTGGTCGTGGTTCTCCGAAGCTTCACCGGGGGGCGGGGGGGCGAAACAGCCACTACACCCAGGTCCCCTACCTTTTTCTTGCCCGTGGGTTTTGCATTCACGGAGCCCCCTCTTTCGTTGTTTGGCACGCAGCCCGAAACCGCCCACAGGGCACGACGACTGCTGTCCTTCCCCCTGCCCTGCGCGTGGAGACCGGGGCTTGTCTTGTCTCTGTCATCGGAATTGCACCAACCCTCTCGGGCGGGGAAGGGGAAATTACGCCACCGGCCCATCATGGGCAATCCCGTGAGCAAGAGCCAGGCGTTCATGGAGCAAAGAGAGAGAAGCAACACGGAGTACCGGAAGCAGGGAACCCTGTCTATGAACCTGGTAAGGCCGAAAAGTGTATTCGCTGATGCTGATCATCTCTCTCTCTCTCCCTAACCTATTTTTTTCTCTTTTCCCGGCAGTGAGAGGGGGGACAGGGCAACAGAGCGGCTGGCGTCGTTTAGGCCCCGCGCGTGAATCGTCGCCTCGGTTTCGGTTGCTCCTGGTCGTCGCGCATGCGGGGGGCGAAGCTGGCCGCCTTCGCTTCCGGAACCCTTTCGGAATACGCACACACACACAATAGCCTTGGTAGACGCGTGCATTTTTCGTCTGTTGCTGCTGTTTCTGTTTTTAATCCGAAGGATAGTTTAGCCTCCCCCATGCTGCCCCCGCACGGGGTCCCAGTTCATGGTAGATAGAAGTGTTTTGTGTTTTCAACCGCACTAAGACTGACGTCTTTTCATTGGTCAGCCGGTTAGCGCGGTCGATGCTAATAATAAAAACACACACACACTTCCTCGCAGCAAGTAACGAATATTGTTGTCGCCCCTTCTTTTTTCTCTATGAGACTTTTGTGGAGATTTGACCTGTCGGGTCTCGTCTTAATGCCTGCCTGCTGCTGCTGATGGTTTATGGCGAAAGGCCCCCGTCTTCTTGATTTGTTTTTAGTCAGTGCTGCTGCTGCCGCTCATAATTTGGCCCTGATGACGCTGCCCTGCCTCTGTTAGGCCGTCTGCGATTGCTGCTGGGTTGTTGCTTGTGCTCAACTCTCGTTTTTCTCCCTTCCCCCTCTCACCGCAGGTGCGAGAGGAATTCAATCGCGATATACAGGAGGTGTACGATCTGAGGTGAGTGAGAGAGCACAGCAGCAGCAGGATGCGTTTGTCGTTTTCCTTCTTGTTCTGTTTTTGTCTTGTGTTACTAGAAAAACCATTCCGATCTGTGCTCAGTGCGCCAATAAGTACCATTCCGTACATACGGCTTCAAAGCCTTGATGTTGTGTACATCATACGCAGCGTCTGTCTTTTTTTTTTGCCAAGTTTTCCGAAGGCAGCACCACCTACTTCAAGTGGTTCTGGGTTGCTATGTATCCCTCTTTCGTCAGAAAGTGTATCTATGAAAAAATGGAACAAGCAACGTGCATGGTGAGGAGGAGACTGCTGTCACTGATCGTTGTGCGAGGCGCAGCAGCAGCAGCAGTTGTTTCAACTACAAGCAGTTCACGTTATGGTAGGAGCCCCAGCGACACACCATTTACCACATATTACACACCCGCATTGCGGAGCTTTGGCACCTTTGTTCGAAGTGTTGATCGCGGACGATCTCTCTGCTCTCTTGCAGTTACACACCCTTTGCTTTTCGAATTTCAAACGCCTGGATGCTTGGGGGTCCGTTTCGACACAGCTCACCTCGTTACGACTATGTTTTACCCACGATGGGGTGTCACGTGCGACGAGGATTCAGCGCCCACCAGCAGTGCGAAAAGAGCGCAGTGCGCGCGCGACGGTTCGGTGTACGTTGTGGTTCACGAGGGGCCAATAGCGATGGTGCGGCGAGAGCGCATCGTCGAGCTAGGCGCCCCCCGACTGCTGGGTTGATTCGGCCGCGAGTTAACTTGCGTTCTTAGCACACCGGTAGTAGCGTATCGATTGCTGCACCGTGAATTCAGCGGTACACCCGCCTGCCCCCTGTCCATCACCAATGGAAGGGGTTAAAAGAAACGGATGGTGCCGTGCCACCCTTCCTCCCCTGCCACCGTGAGTCGGAGGCGTACCCGCTGCTCATTTCGACGAGTTTTTGCTGTCCCGTGTGATGCAAGGCGGATGGCGGTCGTCTTTTATATCGGGTTGGAGCAGTTCATTGGTGGAGGTATCTGCAGGTCACAGGAAGTCAGAACGAGGTTGTTGTAAACGTTTTGAGCTACAGCAGTTGACAGCAGCCGACACAACACCGACAGCACGAAGAACGAAGAAACAGCCTCAACAGCGATGCAACCACCCGTGCCATTAGCGGACGATGACGACGACAACACCACCAACAACAACAACAGCTGTTTGATGGTAGCCGAGATTATAAGATCTCCGGTGTTGTATCATACTGGTAGGCCGTGTCACTGCGCCCCGCTGGGGCTGTGTTGCGCCATGTTGTGCCGTGCAAGGCGAGCCCACCGCCTAGCGTATTGCGTGTCGTTCACGTGCACCTTTTGTACCTGCTGGACACGTGCTGGTGAGCATGACCTCTCAGTTTCCCAAAGAGTTGTCATGTCGTGTGACTGGCATCGAGACGCCGAGCTGTGTTCCATGTTGAGCGAAACCACTCGTCTCGCATGACACTGCCAACGCAACGTTAAGTGATGATACACCTTCTAGTGCGAACATGCACAGCCTGTGTGTGCGCAGTAAAAGCTTTGGCGCACCGTCCCCGTTGAAAGCTATCGGCAGGCTCGTGCGTGGAAAATTATATGTAGACGATGTGCGGGAAGTTTACCTTCTGCAGTTATTTTCTGCTGGTTTTGTGCCCGCGTATTGTCTGTTTTCTGAGAATCCCTGTGCTTCTTTTGTTGGCGACGGAACGGCTAGGTTGGTACTGCAGCACGCGAAGATCTCTCCCACCCTCTCAAGCTATTTATTGATATTTTACCATAGGGTGTTTCTATTTCATCCGCACGCACTCCGCACAACAATGTACACAGAGAGCACGCCCGCCCTGGCGGGCACAACACACGTTTCGCTTGTCATGAGTTGTTTGCTTTTGCAGCGCGATAGAAAATGAGTCTCATCTTGTCTTGATGCATGAACGGCTGATTTACTGTTCTGGCTGTTGCTGTTGCACGCGCAGATTCCGAGTGTCGTTCGACTTGGTGATGATCGTTTTGTGCGTAGCATAATTTTCATCTTTATTGCCATGTGTTTTTATGTTGGATTGGTTTGTTTTTCCAGGTCGGGCGAGCTGCTCGGGAAGGGAGGTTTCGGGACTGTCAGAGTCGTCACGCATAAGGCGACGCAAAACAAGTATGCGCTAAAGGTGAGCTTTTGCTTTTTTGGTCTGGTGTCATCGCACGAAAGCTCCTCCTCGGTGACCCTGGTCGGCTTCATGCGTCCAGAAATGAAACCGCCAAAAGGTACGTAATAATAACTGGCTTTATCCAGATAGGTAATACGGGAGTGCACGCACATCGCAGGCTGAAGCGCCGAGGTAGTTGCGCCGACGACCATGACGTCGTAGAGTAGAGCGTCGAGGGTGGGTTGCACGTCTTGGATGGATTATGTTTGGAAGATGGCAGCAAAAACAGAGCAGCAGTGGCGTTTTTCACGTCCGCCACAGGGGGGTGACATGCACGACGCCGCCCTCCGAACTTGGAACCGTTTGCACTTCATCAATTTTTATTAATACAATCCACAAGTTTCCATTCGCTTCAAGGGAGAGCGTTCTGCTGCTGCAAGCGTGGCCAGAACACCGGTGCCATTGGCCACGGGCAGGGGGCGGCGGGGACGACTACACCATCGGGGGGAAGAGGATGCTCGTGTCACGCGCGTGGTAGGCTCTTGAGACCGTTGGCCGCTCCCATGGTCCAATGGCGGGGTGGGAGCGGTACAGAGGGATACTTCATTGGCCCTGGCGGCTCCCCAGAACCTTGGCAAAGATGCGGGGGGACGTGCGCGTGCCAGGGGGGGGGGCGCGACAAGGAATATGCATTTTCCTGGTGTGTCCGCGTTTGCTGTCCTGGTGGAAGATCGACCAAGGAAGTCCATCGGGCGTCATGATTTTTGTTAATGTTTTCCAGCCGGCCGTCCCGTGCAAAGAGTTGCTGCCCGATCCTGTTGCTGCTGAGAAAGCCCTTGGGCGGAGAGGAGCACGGGTGTAGGGTACGCCGCGTTCTAGTAGTTAATCCTGCTGTGCCGCACCCCCCAAAAGCAATGTGGGAGAGGAAGTAGCCACCCAGACTGCGATAAAAACTCGACCGCCTGGGGGTATCGAGGGGGGAGAGCTGCTTCTTTGCTATGCCGGGAGTGAGTGCACTCCTGTCGAGAGAGGTAGAGAGAAAGGCAAGAGGAGAGAATGGGCGAGGTGCGAGACAGAGAAAGATCATGAAAAGTTCTTGAGAGTGGGGCCGAAAGTAACGCCGCTGGGATGGCAAAGCCGATCGACCTGCAATCAAAGGAGAACCCGCTTGTGCGCGGCATGGGAAGCTTCTAGGCCGGGGGGCGGGGGAGCAGGCAGGCTGCTTCCCCAGGTGGGACGACACTCTGGTGTATCTCAAGACAAGCGGGCTGAAGGGAAAACGGGCTTGTCAGCGAGAGAGAAATAAAACCATGGACCACAGAGGAGGCGCTTAAATGGTAGGCGGCGGGGGAGGATGCGGGGGGGCAGCGAAGGAATGAACGCAGTTGCCGAAGCTGGATTGCTGTCAGCGTGCAAGGTCGCAGCTGCTGTGAGACCCCACACGAAGGGCCGACGTGCGAGCAATTCGGGGCCTCGGAGCGACATCGTGGTCTAGCGACAACGACACCGCTCAGAATCACGCACTCTTGAGCCAAGCGTGTCTTGGGACACATGGAGAACGGAACACGAGGGAGGGCCGTAACGACACAGCAGGGCACAGCCGATCGACTTCTTTGCCGCGCCTGCGAATACTTGGCCACGCCTCTTCCGAGAAAAGGCGACGCCGAACGTCAAGAAAAACGCGACTCCCATCATTTTGTTTGAGAAGCACGTGTGGTAGTACGGAAGGGAAGATGAGAAGGAGAACCAAGAGCAGCAAATAGCGGGAACACTGCTGTCACACAACGTGTGCGAGGAATACGGAAGTATACCTATGTATCATGCGACGGTTGTCTCACCGATCTATTTGTTTGGCTCCCTCTGTGTGTCCCTCGGCAGACGATCGAGCTGAAGGACGTGGAGACGGTGGAGCAGTACGAGTTTCTCCTCAACGAAATCGAGATCATGAAACAGCTCGACCACCCTAACATCGCGCGGTATGGATGGATGCCAACATTGGCATATGCGAAGCACTATATGTTGTCGACGCTCCTCGTCTGAGAAATACACAGTTCTTGTCAGTTTCCATAGGGATGCGGTGATATGACCTATTTTCTGATTCCGCGATTGTTGTCCCTTAGTCAGCGTACCGTTGTGGTTGCACCCGTCCATTGCCACAATCATCTTTTGCTTCGACCCGCAGGGTGCCGCCCCCCCCCCCGTTTTTGAGCCCTGTGCCGCCAATCCTAACCCTGGCCATATTCATTTTTGGCAGGGTGCAAGAGGTGTTCCATACCCCCGACCACTACTATATGGTGATGGACCTGTACACGGGGGGGGACATGTACGCGAGGTACAAATTTAGGAGCGAGGACGAGACGGCGAAGATTGTGAACAAGCTCATCAACGCCCTTCGGTACTGCCACGACCGCAACATTGCGGTGAGAATCGATACCACCCCGGTTCTGAGGTGTCGGCAAGAGAGAAGGTGGCGGTTTGCGGACACGGGTAGGTTTTTTGAGAGTGGAGAGAGCGGAATCAGGGTTGCACTTGTCCCTTCGTTGCTGTTGTTGTTGTTGTTGTTGTTGTTGTTGTTGTTGTTGTTGTTGTTGTTGTTGTTGTTGCCGCGGTTTTGTTGTTTTTTATTGGAAAGAATAAATACACACACAGAAAAACTGCCCGTTTACATCTATACGAAGAGGAAGGAACGGGAGAAGCGTCCAATTTTGACTGGCGCCGTCAAGTTGGCGACAGCAGTCGTGCAGCACAGCAGAAGCCAGTTATGCTTCACCAAGAATTCTTGGTGGTGTCGGGACAAGAATTCTTGGTGGTATCGGGACAAGAATTCTTGGTGGTATCGGGACAAGAATTCTTCGTGGTATCGGGACAAGAATTCTTCGTGGTGGTGTCGGGCGTTTGTTTGTCGGTGGTAGCAACACACACTGGGACACGCACATGGAAGCTGGTCATGTTCAAAGGTCTTGAGCACGACGTTGTATACGTTGATAGTCAGGGGGTTATTGCGCCCATGACATGCCAGCGAGAGGAGGCTCCTGGAGCCAATGGGACACACGACAAAAACCACTTTCGGCTCCGTCCCGTCAAGTGCTTCTTTGTGGCGCCGTCGTTGTTACGTGTGCTCCCGTCGCAGCACCGAGATATCAAGCTTGAGAACATCTGCTTCGAGTCCATGGCAGATGACGCGGAGGTGAAGCTGGTGGACTTCGGACTCAGCGCTTCGTTTAAGGTGAACAACACGCCTACAGAAGTGCGTCTCTTCATTTTTGTTTTTCCGCTCGGAGCACGGGATGACGTAAGCATGCTACGAAACCACACCAGTCGAGCAGCATGTAGGCGTCATCTTCCGCTTTGGTCCCACGCAAACTGCTGTTCTGATGCCAAGGATCCGCCCTTCACCAACCATTTTCCACCTGCGCCCACCACGCAGGCCATGATGTACATACACTAACCTGTGCCCCTCTTTTCCACTCTGACTTTGCATTTGTGTGTTGATAGCTGATGGTAATAAGCGCGACTTCTGTATCTCCCTGCAGATACATCTGAGTGAATGTCGTCCTTGGCTCGTTTCTTCTTTTTTTTTTATCGTATGCAGGACGAGCAAATGAGGCACGATTTGGTGGGGTCCTGGGCGTTCATGGCGCCGGAGGTTCTTCAGAGAGCGCACCATCCTCAAGCCTGCGACCTGTAAGAGCCGTACAAGGCACAACCTCCTTACAAAGTGTTCCGGTTGTTATCGTCGTCTCTGGCGGTGGTAACAGTATCCCTTCGAGGTTGCGTTGTTGGCTTTATCCCGATTTTTTTGCTTTCCTCCAACTGATGTGATTCAAACTTTGCGGTAACACCGAGAATTTTTCCGGTGATTTCCGTGAGATGGGGCGAGGAAGGGAGGACGGAGGTTGGACAAGGAGATTTTCACAACAGGTGTCACTAGATGTTTTTTTTTTTTTCGTTTCCATTCAAGGCGGAAAGTGTCTTTTGTAGGAATTCCGTTCTTTGTGGCCGTTTCTCACGTGCATCGAACGAACAACAGCGCATCACTCGGCGCGCGCTGCCCCCATCGTTGAACCTACCCCCCCCCCCCCCCCCCC